GCTGGGGCTCAATCTCACACCCCCTTCCCACAGGGACCTTCCTGTGGCCTCGGGGCCACTCATCCCTACTTAGGAAAACTTGGGGCGTCAGGACAGAATCAGGATTCCTTTAGAGCAGCGGTTCTCAACCTTCCTAATGCCGCGACCCTTTAATACAGTTCCTCATGTTGTGATGACCCCCAATTTCATTGTTACAAATTGAACATAATTAAAGCATAGTGATTAATCACAAAAACAATATGTAATTATATACGTGTTTTCCGATGGTCTTAGGCGACCCCTGTGAAAGGGCTGTTCGACCCCCAAAGGGGTCACGACCCACAGGTTGAGAACCACTGCTTTAGAGGAAGGGATGGGAGGATTGTTGCAGACCAAGGAAAGAAAAACTCCAGTTCCTGCTGAGCCCCTGAGCTGAAGTACAATTCACATCTAAGCGGCCCTGCAACCACAGGACACCCGCTGGCCCAGGCTGCCAGCTGCTTCCCTGGGGGGTGTCCCAGCTGCCCACAGCGAAGGGACTGGGACTGTGCCTGAAGCACCATGTCATCAGGATGGCCCGAGGCTGTCCCATAATTGAAATACATCTTGAAAGAACAGGGTCACAGGCCCATAACATCTGGCTGAGACACACAGCTGAATCCGCATGAAATTTTCATGACAAGTGTTTCTTCTAAAGTTCTTCAGGCTTCTTTGAAATATGAGCCTATTATACATATTTTTTTAAAAACCTCTAGGCTAGGCACGTGCCAAGTAACTCTTGTAGCTGTTTCAATGAAAGTGACCCAGCAGAGGGGAGGGGAAACCCTAGTGTGTGCTGGTGGGAATGAGGCTGGTGCAGCCACTGTGGAAAACACTGTGGCTTCCTCACAAAGTTAAAAATGGAACTGCCATTGACCCGGAGATCCCACTTCTGGGAATCTTTCCTAAGAAACCCGAAATACCAGTCAGAAAGAATGTACGCACCCCTATACTCATAGCAGCACAGTTTACAATAGCTAAGATGTGGAAACAGCCCAGTGCCCATCAGTAGACGAGTGGATAAAAAGGCTGTGGTACATCTACACCATGGAACACTCTGCAGCAGTAAGAAGAAGAATCTCTTACCCTGTGAGACAGCATGGAGGGAGCTGGAGAGTATCATGCTAAGTGAAATAAGCCAGTGAGAGAAAGACAAGTGTCACATGATCTCACTCTTATGTGGGATCTATTGAACAAAAGAAACTAATGAACAAAAAAGAACTTATATACATATATGCATAACCAAAGGACATAGACAACAGTGTGGTGAAGGCATAGGACGGGGCAGGGGGAAGAAGGAGGGGGACTAAAGGGAGGCGGGAGGGAATTGGGGAACATCTGTAATACTGTCAAAAATAAAAAATTTTTAAAAAGTGACCCACCAGGAACAGACTGTCCTCATTGTCACCCTAGTCGTCACACATGGTCACTACTGGACACTGGGGAGCCCAACACTGTGTTCATAACCAGAGTGACCACTACTCACCTAATAACATTCTTATGAAATCCTCTTCAAAACTACAAGTCCAATAAGAACATCATGAATGTCCACTACAGGTTTTACACTTGGCATTGCTGCATGCCACACAGTAGGCTGAGGGTTTCCTTCAAGTACCAAGACGACCCAGGACACCACCCCCAGAGTGCTGCTCATAAAACTCCACCGTGTAACTAGTGGGAACACACAGCTCACTCACACCTGCAGGTGAACAAGGTACACATCTTCCTTTGACATGTTAAGGGTTAGGGTACTCTTACCCTAGCTTTAAAAATCAGTCCTTAACAAATTATTCACTAAGAGAGAACCTGATAAGCTGCCTCCCAAAGAAAATAAAAATCCAAAGACAGGCCAATTACTAAGACATCACTCACAGGTCAGGGGGACAAGGGCAAAATAACTACCCAAATGGTAGGACGGAGAGTAGACGCCATGCCTCCCACGAAAGCTCTAGCGGGTTAGTATTCCCAGAGCAGCAGCAATGTCTAACCAAGGCAGAAGCAAGCTCACAAAACTGACAATGCAAAACTTACGGCTCCTGAGCACTTCATTCCAAACAACACATTTCCATGGGCCCAGTTTGAAATGAAAATTAAAAATACAACTGACTTAGAAATCAACAAAATGAAGGTTGTTTTCTAAGTCAAACTCAAATGCAATTTTTGAAACTCATATCTGTGAGCAAAAGGCTACAGATAACCTGCAGAAGCACAACTAACAAAGAGAAGGAAGAAAAAGGGTTAAAATTAGATACTGGTTACTAAAGAGGCTTGAAAAATGCAGAGATACTGCTTGGAGAGGGACCACAGAAAACACAAGACGAGCACCTGAAACCCTCCACAGAGGACAAGTGTAAAGAAGCCAGAAATCCAACCAGACAGAACCTCTCGGGTCCCCAGCAGGACGCCATGTCAGGTTGAAACAGAACTTACTAAGCTGATGACAGAGAAAACCTGCACAAACCAGTCCTAACAGGCCATTTTTAAAGCCATCAGTAAGGAGCACCCGAGGCCAGGAGACTTGAGACAGGACAGCTCGAGGCTTCCGAGGCATGTTTACGGCCCGGCCCTCCTGACACAAGGAGGTCCTGAGTGAACTCCAGCGAGAAACCAGCAGGGCAAGGGAGGTTCCTTTTCCAAAAAGGAAGCCAAGAGCATGCCCCCAATGGCAACCACTGCCATCAGCCTCCTGAGGAGCAAGGGAGAAAGTGCCTAGCACCGGTACTACTGACTAGGCAAAAACACGGGGATGTGGGGACAGTGTGCCCTTCCCAGCTATAAAAACCTCTCCCCCTGGTGACATCAACGCGTAGACTGTTTCCAGCCAGAGCTGCGTTCAACACTGCCCCGAGGACCCAGCATGTTCCCAAACGGGAAACCAACCATCACAGAGCAGACAGGACTTCTTCACGTTTCCCTAAGTCCCTCAGGACTGTGCAGCCGCTCCATCAAATGGCTCATCCCTACCCTGCCCATCCCATCCCCCCACCACCCCCCCGCCCCGGAAACATAAAACCCTGAGGTTCAAGAATTTCCTCGGTTTTCTCACGTGACAGAGAAACTGTCTATCCTACCAGCATCAGGGAAAAGCAGGCCTTCTGTGATGCATTTTAGTGATACCGGGCATTGCAACCCTTTCCCGAGCGGGACGAGCACACCTCCCGTGTCCAAAGGTGCTCAGGCGGAGAGCACACACACAAGCACCTTCACTGTTCCTTGAGCTCAGCTGCCTTTGAATGCTCACATTAAACTTGTGATGCTTTACTTCTAGTTTCTATGATATTCTAAAATACTTTCCCTTGTCTTCCATAACCATCCTCACATTCTTACCGAGTGAATGGAACCAGAGCAACTCCCATGGGCTTTCCCATGAAGCCTAAGGGGAAAACCCTTACCAACTCCTATTCTAACAGCTTTCTTCCTGCATATTTCCAAAACAAAGCTGAGTGGGGTGGTTTCCATCCGATCCAAGACTCACTTAACATCCCTCTGGCTGGGACCCTCATGCAGGAAATGGGACTCTGTGATCCATCTCCAGCAGAGTCACCTTTTAACCAAAAGGGCTGCTGAATTTCCTCAGGACAAACAGAATGTAGGGAGGGAAGAGGACATAAGAACAAAGAACTGTGGGCGTGAGCCAGCTTCATGGAGGAAAACCCCTCCCCCCAGGCACCCACCTCAACTGGGGGGGGGGGGGGGGGGGGTGGAGGCACCTAGAAAGGCCTCAGCCCTTTTTTATTTAAATGGCCCAATGGGAGACAGCAAGAACTAGGCGACTATGACAATCTGTTAAGCAGAGCCTCAGCCAATGAGGACCGAGGAGGGACACTTGCACCCTGGGGAGAAATGAGCTGTGATCGCTGCCCCAGGTGAGCCTGCACAACCAGGGGGACACACGCCACCGAGAACCTATTCCAGGCCTTGTTGTCGCCATACCTCTGTCTCGAGTCCATTACTTAAATGCAGACAGGTGAGCATTTTTCACACTAGGTTGGTGATCGGGACAGATTTTACAGACTGAAAAACAAAAGCAGCACCTTTTGGCCACATCTGCATCACTCCATGTCGTTACCGTGCAGTCTTGATGGAGCTGGCGTCAGACATACCTCGTAGGTGTGTCACCATATTAAAATGTTCAGTAAGTTGCTAGTCATTATTTAACATACACAGGAAATCTGCACACACTGTCCAAATAGCCTGAAGAAAACGAGCACAGGTTTGGTGAAGGTGGCACCCACCTCAGTGCACAGGACGGACAGTCAGGAAGCGACAGAGGCCCAGGCACAGAATCACACAGACACAGGAGGCTGCAGCCCCACTGGGAAAGAATGCACCAAACACATCGCATTTATTTTCTTTTTTTTTTAAAGCAAATAACAAAGACCCATTTTACCAGCTTTACTTTTTAAACCTAAGCTTAACATTACACATTTAAACAATTGTCAAAACTTACTAAGTTGCCAGCATTCATGCACAACTAGAAAACATCCTCAATTTATACTAAACCAGAAATGTATTACCATTGATGCATTAGTACCTTTCACTACTCAACACTGAAAGACTGAAACTACTCTGGGAGCGCGTCCTGGCAATGTTAGCTTCACAGCAGGCCGCCACTGCTTGGCTCATGTTTACACACAATGGAAAGCAGGTCCGTGCTGGTGTTAGTGTATGAAGTCACGGCCACCCTGGATCACGTTTAATAAAAAGCAAAGTGCATACAGAGATTTACAACAATTGTAAAGACCAAAAAGAAAAGGTCCTATCATGTGGTCCCAACAATAAATCAACAGTCTGACAAACAGGCTCCGATGAGCGTGTATAAATACTTTAGATTAGGGACAGTTATACTGAAAGTCGAGTTCGTCTGAAATCTTCAAAAAAATGTTCCTGTTAATCCTCACATGGTGCTTGTTACAGTTAACATCTCTGTTACATGCGTGCGTTGAATTACTTGTTATCCAAGCGTAGCAGCTGCTCCTTACCATTTATCGTCAAGGACTTTAACTGGCCGTCTTCTTCAACTTCTACTCTTTCTTGACCGTTCTCGACAATTCTGGAGGATAAAATGCATTTTTAAACTTTATTTCTTGCAGTAAATGTATGTGTTTGTATAGATGCATTTGGAAACCAGGACTGCCACAGACGAACATGAAACCACAGACCCTAGGGCTGAGAACCAGCTGAAGCCACCCAGGGCCATCTTTCTGAAAACAGACTGATTCTGACAGACAACACTATACCGCTGACCATGACCTACATGTGGACACCAAGAATCAAATGGTCACGGTTTCAGGGAGCATCTGAGATCTTGCTCCCAGGCATACGTTGTCAGATTGGCTAAAAAAAAAAACTCATAGAAATTAAAATATGATAAAGCTTTTACTACTAATGGTGCTTTCCATTTTGTTATCCTAACAGTGCCAGCAAACCAATTACACTATTATTACAGCACTGCACATTAAAAATGTCTCTAGCTCTCGCCGGTTTGGCTCAGTGGATAGAGCATTGGCCTGTGGACTTAAGAGTCCCAGGTTTGATTCCAGTCAAGGGCAACCTTGGTTGCAGGCTCATACCCAGCCTGGGCCCTGGTCGGGGCTCGTGCAGGAGGCAACCAACCGATGTGTTTCTCTCACATCGGTATTTCGCTCTGTCTTTCCCTCTCCAACTCTATCTAAAACACAAAAAAAGGAAAATTATCAAGTGAGGATTAAAAAAAAAGGCTCGCCCTAGCCAGTTTTGCTCAGTGGGTAGAGCAGGGGGGTCCTCAAACTACGGCCCGCGGGCCACATGCAAATACAAATATTGTATTTGTTCCCGTTTTGTTTTTTTACTTCAAAATAAGATATGTTCAGTGTGCATAGGAATTTGTTCATAGTTTTTTTTTTTAACTATAGTCCGGCCCTCCAACGGTCTGAGGGACAGTGAACTGGCCCCCTGTTTAAAAAGTTTGAGGACCCCTGGGGTAGAGCGTCAGCCTGCAGACTGAAGGGTCCCAGGTTCAATTCCAGCCAAGGGCACATGTATGGACTGCAGGCTCAATCCCCAGTGGGGGGCATGCAGGAAGCAGCCAATCAATGATTCCCTTGTTGATGTTTCTATCTCTCTCTCTCCCTCTCCCTTCCTCTCTGAAATCAATAAAGAAATATATTTAAAAATAAATAGATTAAACTGTTAAAAAAAAAAAAGGCTCTAAATGAAGAGGGCTGTTAATAGGTAACATTAAACAAAATTTAAAAAGAAATGCCCTAAATTCGGATATTAAGATTCTCAGGTGCCCAATTTAACTTACACCCTATACTTCACGCTCAGGGGCAGGGGGGTGGCACCCATAAATTATTACACCTACTTATTAAAAACATGAAATATGGGAGAGAACTGTACCTCTTTGTAGTGATTTTTCTTCCGTTAACAATTTTGGTAGAAGTCGACACGGACTTGAAGTTGCCCATCCCACTACCACCAAATGACGTCGAAGAGAATGAAGTGAGACCTCCATGACCTATTGACCCGAAGGAAGTAAATCCTGTAAGAAATAAAGGGAAAAAAATATCAGAGACTAGTATGTCTGGCATTCAGTGCAAAAATCCCCAAATGTCAAATCCCATAGCAGACCTCTCCTGTAAGCAGGGTGCTGGCAGGGGCAATGCTGGGGTCCAGGGGACTCCTCTAAATCAAGGGGCAAGACAGCAGGCTCCTTTCACCTCCCCTCCCACCCCCTCCTCCTGCTGGGCTGGGCCTCGTTGCATTTCCCCTGTTTATGGAGGATCCACTAAGCATCTAGCCTCCTGGAGGGACTAGGATGGCCGCACACTCTGCATCTCACAGGAACAAAGTGACCACTGCTGACAGAATGGCAGACCCAATCCGCTCACCTTCCCCTTGCAATATGACCACAAGGGACAAAAATCTGAATTATTAGAAAGCTAAAGTAATTTTAGAACAAATTCTAAAATAATTACAAGTATGGCTCTGTAGTTCATGTACAACATTCTCAGTCACATGGACATTACGCCCTGATGGCCACATATCACCCTGAAGCTGGCTTCCTTGTTCATTACAACAAATACCCGCACTCCCTACACAGGACTCAGCCCTCCAGCTCTAATACTGTCTAAACCAGCGGTGTCCAACAAAAACAGAATGTGAGCCAAATACGTCATTTTAATTTTTATAATGGCCCCACTAAAAAAATACAAAGTGGCAAAATTGACTTTAGCACTATTTTTATTTAATCCAGAATATCCAAAATATTATCTTACGCAATATAAAAAAGTTGAAATTGTTTGGACTTAAATATTCCATCTTTGATATCAGTGTATGTCCCACTTGTAACGCGTTGGTGTGGACGGACCACATGACGAGGCTCAGCAGCTCCGCGTGGCTGTGGCCACCATCCAGGACAGCACAGGGCTAGAGGCTGGAGCCACAGGACCCTTTGCAAGGCCCCGACCAGGAAAGACTGCACTTCGCTAATGATTTCTACCAGCTGTTTCCCCTCTCCCTGAAACTTGAGCACTACCATAAGCACAGTGCATGGTATCGGAGCGTCTGCTGGAGAAAAGCCCTGGCATAGTGCTGTGGAAAGAGCTCCCCAAAGGAGCCTCTCCTAGCTGCTATCAGCATGACCCTTGCAGGAGGGACCTTCTGACAGTACCATGCAGGCAGCCTGTTTAACAAAGCACTGCAGAGTCTTGGCAGAGCATTTAAGACAAAAACAAGACCCAAAGACAGCCCTAGGTGGTTTGGCTCAGTGGACAGAGCGTCGGCCTGCGGACCAGGGGTCCCAGGTTCAATTCCAGTCAAGGGCATGTGCCCGGGGTTGCGAGCTCGAACCCAGTGGGGGGCGTGCAGGAGGCAGCCAGTCAATGATTTTCTCTCATCATTGATGTTTCTCTCTCTCTCTCCCTTCCTAAAATCAATAAAAATAAAATAAAAAAAGACCCAAAGACAGCAGGAACTAGGTGAGCGTCCATGGCAAGAGTCTCCTTCTTGAGGTAAAACAATCTGTTAGGCCACCACCCCATCCCTCGAGCTGCTGACCTGCTTTACCAAGGGCTAATGCCAACACTGTGCACGTGGCTGGGCACCCCCACAGCAAGCACACATCCCTCATGGCCGCAGCAGGCATGGGTGTTATTACTGCCCCTCCTCGGCCTCCATCAGCGGACTCGGGGCCTCCTTGTACTAAACTACCCAGAAGGTTAGGACTTAGTAAGACTAAGTGCGTTATTTCACAATGACCGCAAAACACCTTACTCCCTTAACGAGGAGTATTTACTAGTAAGAGCAGAGGTGGATTTTCATGTATAACATTCTTGGGAATGAGTAAAGATGACTAGGGAATCTACAAGACTGTTCTATCAAAAGGAACACATGTTTCAAACTATTTACCAGTTACCAGAAGTAAAATCTTGGGATTTGATACCTGTATCAAAAGACGGAAACCCTCCGCCGAAAGCCGGGAACCCTGTGAAGGCGGAGAAGAATGAGGTGGTTCCCCGGTTCCTGCTCCCACGCGGACCCCGCCGAGTCCCAAAGAAGTCGTCAAATGGGTCTTCTGGAAACAAACACATGCATTTTGTAAAATTTTGTTCCATGTCCTGTTTCATGGGAAAGCTGTAATAGGGGAGCAGGAAGCCTTGGAGAAGTCACGGCCAGAGCTCCTGTAACGCAAGCAGAGCCAGCCAGAGGCATCGGGGACAGACCCAGCCTGCCCACCACGCAGCCTCTGTGAAGGGTCAGCAAGGGTTCATTCACTCAGGTACTTAGGAACTCAAACTCCCTAAGGTCTGAGTTGTCTCCATTATTCAGAAATAAAAACAAACACGGACTATTCAAACATTCATTTTAACACACAGGGAGGAGTAATTCTGGGCCTCGGATATAAGAGCTCCTTTTAAATTTTCTGTAAACTTGACATCTCAAAAATATTTTTTAAATGGTTAGTCAAGGCAAATCTAAATAAATGTGAATTGCAGACATGACATTTGTGCTCCAATAGGAAACTACTAGATCAGTGATGGCGAACCTATGACACGCATGTCAGAAGTGACACGCAAACTCATTTTTTTGGTTGATTTTTCTTTGTTAAATGGCATTTAAATATATAAAATAAATATCAAAATATAAGTCTTTGATTTACTATGGTTGCAAATATCAAAAAATTTCTATACGTGACACGGCACCAGAGTTAAGTTAGGGTTTTTCAAAACGCTGACACGCGGAGCTCAAAAGGTTCGCCATCACTGCATTAGATGAATAGGCATTGTCTTGCTAGTGAAGATATCAAAATGCTCCTGAAAATAAAAGACCAACCACGAGTTTAACTCCGATTATTAATGAGTTACTAAAAACACAAATCATAAAAACCTTATAAAAAATTTTGCTAAAGTTATATGAAATTAGTCAGGTAAGTAGGAATTCTGTGAGAAACAGAAAATGGACGGACTTATCAGGAATCCTACAAAAGCTTGCAGGGAAAAAGAAAAGCAACCCATTACAGAGACTACAGAATTAATCTGGCACACCTGGAACACAGCAGCGGGGACCAAAGTAGGGAAGAGTGACAGGAAATAGTGACACACACACACCCGCCAACAACCAGCACGAGACCTAGGCTGCACTGTCCTGCATACACCAAGCATCACACTGAAGCACACGGTCTTGTCCTGAAATGGCCCACTGGCGAACCTATGACACGCGTTATGTCTTTAGGTTAACAAAGCAACTAAATCCTCATATGCTGTCTGCCCATGGGACACGATACTCCAGCTAAATCAAGCATGTCAAACTCAAAGGGTCAAATAAACAAGGTTAAGTTTATGTGGGCTACAAAAAACAAAAGCTTCAATTTTCATAGGAATGTAGGTTTATTTCGATAGAGACATGCTGAATACAAAAGTCTGAAATAAACGAGTAATTGTTAACATAAAATAGAACATTTTATTAAAAATTAGTATTTTTTTCTTGAGCATTAACTTATCAGACACTGAATAACTGCATAAATTAATAAACGTAACGCAAATAAACCTATTTTTCTTGTTCTCCAAAAGCAAAATCTTTCCTGTTGCACACACCAAACAAGTCAGTCCAAAACTAATGACATGGCAATCGGCTGCTAGAGTATTTGCCGCTAGTATTAGTAGAGAGAAATGGTGTACCTGCGCGTAAGGGAAATGAATGCAACACGAGTATAGGAATCAGTCATTAGCGAATGTTGTAGTTCGCTATTAATAATCTATACCAGCCGTGGGCAAACTACGGCCCGTTCAGCTGTTCTATCCGCCCGAGGAGCCAAAAGAGCGGAGGGTTCTCTTGCTCTCCCCTCCGCTCCTTCACCAGCAGCGGTGTTATCATGTATTAGTTCACACAAACACTCCATCCATGCTTTTGTTCCGGCCCTCCGGTCCAGTTTAAGAACCCACTGTGGCCCTCGAGTCAAAAAGTTTGCCCACCCCTGATCTATACTAATCTAATAAAAGGGTAATATGCTAATTAAACCAGATGTCTTCCGGACAAAGCCACGGTGGTGGGGCTGAGGCAGAGGTGGTTAGGGGCGATCAGGCCGGCAGGGAAGAACGATGAGGGGTGATCGGGCCCGCAGGGGCGAGCGGTTAGGGGCTATCAGGCCGGCAGAGGAGAGCTGTTAGGGACTATCAGGCTGGCAGGGGTGAGTGGTTAGGAGGTCAGGTTGGCAGGGGAGCAGATAGGAGCATCCGGCAGAGGCAATTAGGGGCGATCAGGCAAGCAGGTAGGTGAGCAGTTAGGAGCCAGCGGTCGGGGACTTCAAGAGGGATGTCCCAGATTGGAGAGGGTGCAGGCCCGGCTGAGGGACCCCCCACCCCCACCCGTGGACAAATTCTGTACACTGGGCTTCTAGTTATACAACAGGATATTGTAAAAATGAAGTTACAAAATTTTTATTAGAATGTTTCTTACTGTTATAAGGGCAGGGCCGCAAAAATATTCATTGTGTGCCGCAAGTTTGACATGCTTGAGCTAAATGAAGACTTCCATCACTATAAAATCACCTTATTGAAAAACTACTTCAAAAGTTGGGTTACAAGTATGTTAGGAAAGTAAAGTAAGTGGCTTTTCAGTGACATTTTCTTGCACAGGAGTCAGCCGATCCATGTTTCTCTCTCATCACTGATATTTCTATCTCTCTCCCTCTCCAAAATCATTAAAAACACACAAACACACAGCTCATCTCAAACAGAGATAACTTACTGCACTAAGAGTTCAAAATGTTATAGTGAAAGTTGAAAACCTAAATTTCCAATAAAGGAGATAAAGAAATGGGGTATTTTAAATGCAGATTTTTACGTGAGCATAGCATTTAAGCTTTAGTAAAAGGCAGAAGAGAACATAAATGGACAGATCACAGTTTTAGTAACTGAAAAATGTTAGCCAGTGCCTTTCAACTGGGAGTAAGACAAAGGCCATTCCTTCCCGCCTCCTTTCTACTCATTCCCATGTTCCTAACTCTTACACGGAGTACACATCTTATTTTTAAGGTTAAAAAGGATAAATATCACACAATATTTCAAAAATAAATTTGAACAAGACACATGAAAATGACCAAATGTGCTGCCATGTCCTCTCCTCCCCCACTGTGTACAAGATGCCCTGCCCCGCCCACCAGGGCAAGGGGGGCTTGTTGGAGGAGGAAGCAGCTCCCACACCAGCTGCACCCATGGGACCGACACAGAAACGAAGAACTAACTGCCATGAGCTTCCTTCCTGAGTTTGTCAGGAATGTAGTTGGTGCAAACATATCAGTAAATAAGAAGCAAGCATCTTTGTTTCCCTGCCTGTCCCCTGTATGGTGTAAGGCACAACACAGACCTGATATCATACAGCCACTAACGGGGAACCAAGGGGAAGAAAGACGGAAGTCAAGGCCCCACCTCCTACTGGGGCAAGGTCAGTGCACTCTAGGTGTCTGCAGGACAGATGACCTTGCCAGTGTCTTTACATGGTGGCAAGTACAGTTTAAGGAGATGGTGAGCATGGATGCCAAACTGACAGGGTGGACTTGTAATGGTAACTTTGCATGTCAAGTTGAGGGTGTTTGGGATGAAATTGATATTTAGATCAGCAGACTCATCAGAGCAGACTGCCCTCCCCAATGTGGGTGGGCTCACCCAATCAATCAGCTGAAGGGCTGATTAGAACCAAAGGCTGACCCTAGCCTAGACTCTCCTGCCTATAGGCTTCCTAACTGCAACCCCATCTTCCAGCCTGGTGGTCTCTGGACTGAGTTGGAACCTCAGCCCTGCAGGACCCAACCTTGTCTCCAGATTGTGGAAAGCCGCCTATAAATTGGGCACAGTAAGAAATTAATAACTAAGAACAGTTGTAATGATATACTGTAATACAAGTATTGTGTACGGTCTCTCTTAGAATTTCCAATGTATGTAGGACTGTGTGAACATGCTGACCAAAGGGGTGATCCGTGTCCCGAGTGGGACCGACCGTTTCTCTAAACGGCATGTGATTTAAAACTTAATAATTGTTTGTTTCTGGAATTTCCCAGACAATCGTAGCTGAAGCAACTTCCCCACCAGATGGTCTGATAAAGATAGTCTGGTCTGCTACTGGAACTTGCCTGCCTAAGGGCTATGGGTGAATCCCAAACTGAATAAAAGGATGGCCTGAGCACAAGTGGAGTCCATCCTCTTGGGTTGGGCTCTCGCCTGGCCCCCCAATTTCCAAATTATTATCTCGTCTCGTTTCTTTCACTTGTGTGCGGCCCCTCTTCCAGATCCTGAACCCTGAACCACGCGGGACGTGGGGGAATACACACATCTACACATCTGACGCCCGAAGGAAGAGAAGGGGGAAAACATATACACCAGATTCATGGGAGTCAACTGCTTCCACTAAATGTCTTCAGAGACAGAGACCCTTTGTTCTCTCTAGAGAACCCTGATACAGAGTCCAGGGGGAGAAAGTATTCTTGATCATTTCACAAGTTTCTTTAGTAATGATATTATTCTGGGGCCCATGATATTAGCAAAGTGTAATAATCCCCCCCCCCCCTTTATCTGAGGTTTTGCTCTCTTTAGTTTCAGTTTCCCACAATCAACCACAGCCTGAAGATTTAAAAGGGAAATTCCAGAAACAAACAATTATTAAGTTTTAAATCACATGCTGTTCAGAGAAACATAATGAAATGCCGCTCTGTCCCACTCGGGACACGGATCACCCCTTTGGTCAGCATGTCCACACTGTCCTACATACATTGGAAATTCTAAGAGAGACCGTACACAATACTTGTATTACAGTATATCATTACAACTGTTCTTAGTTATTAATTTCTTACTGTGCCCAATTTATAAATGAAACCTTACATATAGATAGGATGTGCATGTATAAAAACAAAAGCATGGTCCATATAGGGTTTGGTGCTGTCTGTGTTCAGGCACCCATGGGGGTTTGGGAACGCATCCCCTACAAATAAAGGAGGATGGCTGTACTAAACTAACTGACAGCCTAAGTCAAACTTCTGACAAAATCTAGACTGAGCTGAATGGTATGAAAAAACTAGGCACAAAAGACAAATGTTTACATAAACACATACACACAAAAACCCTAAAAAAAAAAAACAAAAAAAAAAACAAAAAAAAAACCTCTATGAGTGAAAGATGTTTCAATCCATCCATACATTTTCTAAAGTTTTACCACAATTCAGTATTGGAGAGCACTGAAGAGAAACCCACTCTTATCAGGTGCTCTAACCCACACCAAGTAGGCGCACCACTGTCCTCAGCAGACAAGCCCGCACGCGTGGCTTCAGGCCATGTGGCCCACACTAGGAACGCCCAGCACAGAGCACTGGCACAAAGGACAACAAAACAATCGAACAGGAGAGCGTTCCGTCTATTCTCAAGTCTCAAAGCTGAGCTACACAGCAACCTTCAGAAAAGGCAAACACCTGAAATTCTAGACTCCCACGAGCTCTCCCAGCTAACCCCAGCAACCCCCGCTAATGCCAGTAACACCAGCTACAAGTACAACTCATTTTTCAAGTGTCCTTTCTTACATATTCAGAAGCAGAGAACCTGTCTGGAAGAAATGTAAACAAACAGAAATGGAAGCAAATCCAGAATCAGCCATTCATTGGAGCCCAAGGTGAGTGGGCCCAGGGCTGCCTAGCGCTTAGCAGCAGGCTCAGTATTGGCCAAACAAGTAAACCCACTTCCCGCTTCCCATAGCGCCTGTTACAAAGCAGAGATTCTGGTTATACCCTAGGTCTGGCTGCAGCACTGTATTTTCTAAGATTTGCAAAAATCTATCCAAGGAACCAAGATGCAGGCGCTGGACCCAATGAGCTCCATGAACTTGACTCCCACAGAAAAGACCTCCTCACAGAAGGAAAACCATGTATCTCATCTTGTGGGTGCCCTTTCTGTCCCCTCCTCCTGCCCTCGCGTCTACCTTCACCCTGTACCTGAGCCATAGGACACCTACACCACCTTCCAGAAGGAAGTTGCTCCCTCGACCAGAGGGACCAAAACTCCACTAGAGACATGCGTAAAGCCTACCTACAAGGGACTCAGGAAAATTGTGACCCCAGGGTCACCTGCAAACTACAGAAAAGAATTAGGACCAGCCCTAGACCAGTGCTGGCTCCCCCCAGGGGAAACGAAACAGCAGAAGGCAGAGGACTGGGCTGGCCAGAGACTCAGACATGCCTGCTATGCTCTGGGGTGGCTTCCCATCCTGATCCCGCGGTCCAGGAACCAGCCTCTTCTCAGGAGAGACCTTTCCCAAAGAAACATCCCTCTCCTTATTTGGGGGAGAAGGGGAGTGTCAAGGGAGCGAATGACTGGGAAACATTAGTGCACACTGGCAACTGAAAGGCAACTGAACATCATCCGCACAGCATCCACCCTCATTTGCCAGCATAACCTTAATTGAAAATTAACTATTTTCAAACACAGCTCCACATCCTCACATGTGCAACCTTCTTTCTGTTGCTAGGCCTACCCCCACCCCACAGGTGAGAGAAACAGGTGAGGGCACTGCTCCCCCCCATTGCTCCTCACTCACGACCATGGACTTCGCAAGAAATTCTTTCATTTTAACACTTCTCCTTGGCCTGTGTTGCACTGCCGTCTTCCACGCGTGTGTCTCAGACGGGGCCACGCAGGTATAGGTCACTCCTGAGCTTCCTTCCCCCCACTGTGCCCACGTGGCACTGCCTTGGCTCCCGATTTCTCTCAGCAGGTATAACTTGAAGCATTCCCCTCCATCTCCTTTTCAATCTGCTGCTTCTGAGTTGAACACTGTCAGGAAGACAACATTCTAGGCTGAACTCCTGACACCAGAATCGGTAAGGTCACCTCACTTGGAAAGGTCATCAGGGTGGGCCCTCACCCTTGTCACCAGCAGCCTTATTCAAAGGGGAAATCTGCAGAGACAAACCTGCAGAGAGGAAACATGATGTGCAGGCACTTACATGCCGAGGACGCTGAGGCCACCAGACACTACAGAGGCCTGGTGGGGACTCCCCTCACAGCCCCCCGCGGGCCCTGATCTTGGGTTCCCAGCCCCCAGCACTGTGGTTCTGGCCCTGGGGCCCTGGCACCAGAAAAGACCCACGTACAACAGCCGCTCCCAGACCCCCACTGGCCCCCCACGTCTCAGTTGTCACCACACCAGCGCCGTGGTGTCTGACCAAGGACCCAAGGATGTGCTTCAACCACAGAGCAGTAGCAGAAACTCTTTATTCCAGGTACACTTTCCAGGGCCGGCCCTCTGTGAGCTGGCCGTCCCATCCCGGGGTCGCCAGCAGCACCTCAAGCTCAGGACCGCTGTCCTCGCTCAACAGCTCCTCGCAGTCCTCGCTGAGCTGCTCCTCCTCGGCCCTGAGGCTGGCCTCATCCTCCTCGCTGGATAGGAACTCCAGCTCCTCACTCGGGAGCTCGGCCTGGCCCCAACTACAGCCCTCGCTCAGCTCATCTTCACTGACGCCCTCGAGTTCCTCACTGGAGATCACCTCCAGTGTGTCACTGTCCCCCTGGCTCGGGGCGTGCTCCGCTGGCTGGTCCCCGCCAGGCTGCTCCAGCTCCTCCCTGGGCTCCAGCTCCTCACTGTCCACCTCCTCGAACCCTGGAGAGCAAAGTGACGCTCACTGCACCACCCGGGCATCGGGCTCAGCGACACAATTAGCTTCCTCCAAAGGCTAAGTTCCCAGGCCTACAGGCCGTATTACCCTCCACTAGCCTTTTCATTCACTAGGGCTCATCACAAAGACAAATGTCAGTATGCAAGGAAAATATGCTGACATGAATAGGCTCTGGAAACAGTTTTGCATTTTCAAGTTTGGCCTTGGCTTTCCGACATGAGAATGCAAGCAAATGAATGTCAGACTACACCCAGACAGCTCTCCCAGACACTGAGTCCTGCTGTGACTTCTCTGTGAGAGCATCAGTTTACTGAGTGCCCTGTAAAAAGAAATGAAGATGGTCCCCGATCAAGAGCTCCTCCTTGGGCCAATTAACGCTCTGGTAGGGCTGTCTCTGTGACCGTGCATGGGGAGAGCTGCAAGTCGGTGCCTCAGAAGTTGGGCTGCACCGCCTGTGCATGCTGGTTTGAGTCAGCCTCCTCCTCCTCCTCTCCCGGGAGGACGCCTGCCCCTCCAGGAGGGTTCGATGCCAGCAGGACCAGGCCCAAGCCCTCCCTGGTCAGTGACCATCCTTGCAGCTTGGTCCTCAGGCACAGAACTGCTTATAGCCTGTCCAACACCCTTCACCCTCCATTCTACCTGGGATGTCTAAGTCACACGTGAGGTCTAATAACTGACAAGTAACTTCAGCTCGAATGTCTTATAATAGATCTTGATCTACTACTTTGGAAGCCAGAACAGGAGAGAAAAAGTCATGTGAAAATTGAAACAAAAAGATAATGTGCTGCTATAAATGGGCATTACGACAGGGCCGAGTCCCCAGGAGGCGGGTGCTGATAACCATCTATGGCCGTGCTGTCCGCCGCACGTACCGCCAGCAGGCCGCAGCGTCACTCCGAACATGCAGCAGCCGTGCAGCAGCTCCTCCTGCGTGTATATCCTGACCGCCTGAAAGTGGAAGTCCCCTAGGACACCTATAAGAATGGATTGAAGAGGTGTCACTGCCACCCCACACATGGGAACCCGGCAGACCTGGCATTAGCATGTGAGCACTGCCTAAGAGTCCAGAATGGCAATGGGACCGGCCACCTCCTAAACTAGGCTGACACCCACAGAAGAAATTGCCACCAAAATGTGCCCCGTGTCCACAATCTATAACCCGTCTCAATGAAACACACAGGCACATAAAGATTTCTTTATATACACAAATCTCACAGTTTGGAAGATGTAAGTCAGGAGATTAAAACAGCTATGGTGGGTAAAACGGCATGATACTTATTCACATCTAATTATTATCTCTATATCTCCTTTCCCCTAGAAAGAACACCTCAGAGAAAATCTCGTCAATGAGGAAGCTTGGACTGGCCTATCAGACATTTTCCCAAGGAGAACCCAATCTCCTTGTGATCACACTTCATTACCACAGGCCTCCTCCCTTCCACTCTTTTCTTTAAAAAATGAGACATAAAAAATAAAATAAAATCACGAAACACAAATCGTGCTGAAGAAGTCCCAGGCTCATAGGGTCCTTCCTTCTCTGCTGTATCCACCTGGTACACCTGGTGTACCCAAGCCCACGGTGGAAAAGGGCAGGCCCAGCCCTAACACAGGATGTCACCAAACACTGCCTGCTCCCCAAAATACACCTGCTAAGGTCTGTGCTGATACACAGAGGATAATTACATTCACCTAAGGCAGGAGTGGGGAACATCAGGCCCGCAGGCTACATAAAACCCGCCTAATCATTTGGTGTGGCCCTGCCAAGGCATTAGGGGTGAGTTGATTAAATATTTGACAAAATAGAGCAGGCTATTTATTTCTTATGAGGATAATTCTGTATGGCCTGAGAATGATGTTATAAATATTAATGGCCCTGGGCAGAAACAAGGTTCCCCACCCTTGGCTCACAGGGAGGCAGTCCAAGCCACATTTGATAGTTAAGATAGCAGTAACTACAGCAAGTCTTCAAAAGAACCACACCGTGGGCCCCACCTCCGAACATTCCTCTGCTTTGCTTCCACTGTTCCATTTGTCAATCAAAAGGCTCCTAAGTAAACGTTTCTACAGACATCACTTAAGCTACCTTCTTACAAGCAGCCACATCACAGCAGAACAAGGAAGTCTCTGTGAATCCCCGTCGGCCCTGCACCTACCAGCCTCAGCAGCGAGTGGCTCCAGGGCAGGCAGGGGCTGTTCGGTCCCATCAACCAGGCTCCAGGAAGAACGGGGTTCACACAAGATGTGCTTCCCCCTCAATGAGCCAAAAGAAAATGACAGTGGAGGAAGTGTGCCCTGCCTCCTGGTCACCTAGCCAGCACTCCACCACACTGGCTAACAAGTGTCCCCAGCACCACCTGGGTCTCAGACACTCCTGGACACAGAGATGATGGGACAAGCCACCCTCTGGCTCTGAAACAGCGGGAACAGCCCGGCTCCTCTAGAAACACCATCCTCTGGACGAAGGTCGCTGTGCAGTCCTGACTCACCACCACACACCCCACACACCGCACTGAGAACATGAGCCAGCAGAGATCAAAGGTCTTCCTTCCACACTGGGCGCTGTGACTCGGGTTTCCATCAGAACCACACTCAAGAGTTCAGTTCCCACGAACAGGAGAGCATTTCCAAGCCCGGGCACCTGCGCACAGACCACTGTCTAATTCAGGCGGCAAAAAGAAGTGAATTATGAAAGAATACATAAAAACCTTCGTTACGTTAACGTGCAAGGTAAAAATTCAGAAAAACCCCCGAAAAGAGGAAAGAGACCATTAGAATTCCTAAATGACAAGTTAGATGACGAGATACAACAGTGTTAAACAGAAAAGGCACCACCAGTCCTCCTGTGAGTCATGGTGACACCAAGTAGACAGCAACCCTGACAATAAACTTACCAAAGAAGTCGAATGAAAACGGGTCCCTTCCACCAAAAAATTCCCTGAACACATCATCTGGGTTCCGGAATGTGAAGCCGAACTCGAACGGGTTGTCGAAGTTAATTCCACCTGCACAAGCACAGCATACTCGCTTATTAGTTCGTGTTCGGGGCAATCACTTGTCCACAGAACATTCAAAACCATAGCCCCGCCCTGACTCGGTGACATGTGTTTGGACTTCAGCGTTCCAGAAGGTCACATCAGCAGTGTGCCTGCCCTTCCTTTTCCACCTTCTCTCAATGTGTCATCAGCACATTCTCTCTCACCAGGTTTATTTTTTGTTGGGAACTTCATGTAAACCAAGTGTGTCCACATTTACTCTCAACCTTTCTAGGGTTGGTTTGGAGCCTCAATTTCCAAATGTACACCACAGACGATTACAGAAACTTTTCATCTAAAATATACCTATCTAGCGCTAGCCAGGTGGCTGTGTCGGCTGGAGCATTCTCTCATACACCAAAAGATGACAAGCTGATTCCCAGTCAGGGCGCATGCCCAGGTTCTGGGTTTGATCCCTGGTTGTAGCATGTAAAAGAGGCAACCAATCGATGTTCTTCTTTCTCTCAGGTGAGAATAAAAAAACACCTGTCTAGCCTTACCACCAAAGCTAGTGATTTTGGTTTTCCAGTAGATCTATTTTTAATCCCTAAGGATATTTTGACGTAAAGCAGGTAACGATGTGGGTGTATAAACTCACAATATAATATTTCATGTCTGGTCTAACAAAAGCCTCCCAATAGGCTATGTAAACGCTGTCACTCAGCCCAGGGGGCGTCATCTGTACTTATTGAAACATGACTCTTTCCCGGCGAGCTAACAAATTCCAAACCTTTTGTTGCCAGAAAGAAAAATCAACATTTACATACCTCCACCTCCACCTCCACCATTTAATCCTTCTTTGCCGTATCTGTCATAGATGTCCCGTTTTTTAGCTGTAAATTTAAAAAGAAAAGTCAATAAAACCAAGTTCCCGTCCCATCCAAGTCCAATAGATAAAGTTTTCCAAGTTCCAAGTCAAAAACCAACACAATTCTTTGTTCACTATGAGTGATAAGGATTTGGGACCAGCTTACTTTAAATGACAAGGGGGGGTACAGGGAAAAACCTAAGTACATCTCTCCATACTCAGGAAATTAATAATTATGAAGTTTAAAGCGTGATTATAAACATTAAATATGTCCCTTTACCACCCAGAAAGACCACATGTGATACATTATATCATATCACCACCAAGTTACAAAATGATTCCTAGAAGTGATGAAAGCAAGAAAAAGAATCTGCCCTGACCGACAACGCAGCCAAGGCTTTCATGACATGCTTCTTTCCTGTACTCATCACCTTCTAGGATGAAAAGAATGACAATGTAGCCCTATTTACACAGCAACCCTGCAGGTTCTTCTAATACACCACCACGTGTTCTCCAAAACGGAGCAGGGAAATGCAGGGCTGTGGGGAAACCAGGCACAGGAGCAAACTACTCCCAGCCAGGTTTGGGAACCAGAGTCCTGGTAAGAACAATAACTGTGCCTGTGAAGACGGCTCCCAGCAGCCTGGCTGGGGCTCAAGGCTGCATAAGAGACCATGAAAACTGTACACTCCGTAAAAAAAAAAGGGAGCAACAAGCCCGGCTGATGTGGATCAGTCGCTGAGCCTCAACCCATGCACCAAGAGGTCGCCGGTTCAAGTCCCAGTCAGAGCACATACCTAGGTTGCATGCTCGATCCCTGGTAGGGGCCATGCAGGAGGCAGCCAATCAATGTTACTCTCATCTGTGTTTTTCTCTCTCCCTTCCTCTGTCTCTAAAAGTCAATTTGCGAGGGGTGGTTGTTAATTTTTTTGTTACTGATTTCAGAGAAGGGGGGGGGAGAGGGAGAGAGGGAGAGAGGGAGAGAGGGAGAGAGAGAGAGAGACAGAGAGAGAGAGAGAGACAGAGAGAGAGAGACAGAGAGAGACGGCGGGGGGGGGGGGGGGGCAACAATGATGAGGGAATTGGGGATCAATGCCGCAACTGGGCATGTGCCCTTGACCGGAATCAAACCCGGGACCCTCCCTCCAGTCTGCAGGCCCACACTCTATCCACTGAGCCAAACCAACTAGGGCTAAAAATCAATTGTTTAAAGAAAGAAGCATTAGCCAGAACCGGATTGGCTCAGTGGATAGAGCGTCGGCCTGTGGACTCAAGGGTCCCGGGTTCGATTCCGGTCAAGGGCATGTACCTTGGTTGCAGGCACATCCCCAGTGGGGGGCGTGCAGGAGGCAGCTGATCGATGTTTCTCTCTCATCGATGTTTCTGGCTCTCTATCGCTCTCCCTTCCTCTCTGTAAAAAATCAATAAAATATATTTTAAAAAAAAAAAAAAAAGAAAGAAGCATTAAAAAATAAAAGAGGCCCGGCCGGTGTGGCTCAATAGTTAAACAACAGGGCACATGCCTGAGTTGTAGGGTCGGTCTATTTCTGCCTCTCTCTCCCTTTCCCTTCCTCTCTGAGAAATAAAAAGAGGGCAATCAAGTTTTTACGGGGGTTTAAAGATTCTCTTTCTGCGAATTTCGAGTTTGAGCTCAATACTCACTGTCTAATGTTCCTGGCCTAGGAAACCCACAAGTCTGAGAGGTCTGGGTTAGGACACAAATGAGATACAGGTCTCCTGTGTTCATGTTAGTCCAGCTCAAAAGCTGGACCATCAGTTTAAGACCTTAATGCTGCATTATAAGATGACTGACAGGCATCCGTGTTCTTGTGCTTTTGTAAGTAACAGAAGTTACTTGTGAAATTAGATGCCTGGGCCTTCCTTTAAATAAAGAAGGGAGACACTAATGGACACAACAAAGTGCTCCCATGTCAGTAACTGCTGGCATGGTTGATGGCAAAATGGGGTTTGTTCCAAAATAAAAAATGACTTTCAATAGTGACCCTGACCTATGCAGACACGTGGAGCAGGCATCCACCCCGTGGTCAGTGAATCAGCCTCTACCCTTTCAAATGCCTCCACCTTGACTCACACTAGGTTATCTAGTATTGCTTCCTCGCAAGGTTGACCAGTGGTTTTCTGGCTTCCTTATAGAGCTCCACTACCCCAGAACCCAGGCACATCTCCTCTCCACCAAGAACTGTGACTTGGATTTGGTTAAGCTTTAGCATCATTCATGAAACTAGGCGAATGGACCTGAATTCCATTAGCACTCAATACCTATGCTCTCGACTGACCGGGGTCCAACCTTATGAGGAAAGTCAAACATCATCTTCTTGGGCACCCAGTGCCCAGTGAGGTCTCGCCCTCGGGTCACTTACCGTCGGAGAGCACCTCGTACGCCTCGGCTACTTGTTTGAATTTCCTCTCCGCTTCTTCTTTATTCTCAGGATTTTTATCTGGGTGCCACTTCAACGCCAGTTTCCGATACCTTCAAAAGAGTAAAAAGGTATTGATCACAACCAAAGCCCCAAAATCCAATAGGCTCTGAAACAGAATGAGACAAGAAAATGGCTTCAGAGCTGCAAACTCCCCTTTTCATTCAGAACCAAATTAATTAGCTCCAAAACCGAGAGAACGTCATACACACTCTCTCTATCGGTTGAAAAGTGTTAACTGTGCGAGGACAGTGTGCACAGCGGGCGCTCAGATGTGAGGCTGAGAAGAGCACGTGTGAAAGGCGGCCCTGCTCACTGAGCACTAAGAGGCTGCCGCATGACTGTCCTCCTGCCCTCACATTCTCGTTCCTCACAGGGAGGCCGTCTCAGCCACAGCAGTCATGTAGTCCACGTCTTCCTCAGCCATCCCATTCTGAAGGCGAGCCTATGGCCAAGGTCACACAGTTCCAAGGGGTCAAGTAACATGAAAATCATGCACTTTTTAAATTTTAAAATATCTTGCCCTGGCAGGTGTTCCCAATGGTTAGAGCACATCAGCCTGCAGATGGAAAGGTCAAGGGTTTAATTCCAACCAAGGGCATGTACCTAGATTGCAGGTTGATCCCTGGCCTCAGTCAGGGCATGTGCCGGAGGCAACCAATCGATGTCTCTCACATGGATGCTTCTCTTCCTCTCTCCTTCCCTCCCTCCCTCCCTCTCCACTCTCTCTAAAAATCAATGGAAAAATATCCTCAGGTGAGGATTAACAAAACAAACAAATCCTAATACTAGCTAAACTGTAAGTAGCATATACTTAGTTAGTATGAGGACATTAAATGGGGAGGGAGCATGCCCTTTAAAATCTAAGACTACAGCCCAGCCGGGTGTGGCTCAGCGGTTGAGCATTGACCCAGGAACCAAGAGGTCACCGATTTGATTCCCGGTCAGGGCATATGCCTGGTCGTGGACTCGGGTCCCCAGTGGGGGGTGTGCGGGAGGCAGCCGATCAATGATTCTCTCTCATCATTGATGTTTCTATCTCTCTCTCCCACTCCCTTCCTCTGTGAAATCAGTAAAAATACATTTACAAATTTAAAAAAAAAAAATCTAAGACTAGAACAAGAACCTGGTAATCCTCTTAACATGTGGCAAGTTATTAACATGAGGCTTTATTCTCACATCACCGTGGATCTGATCATGGAGAAGCAGACCCATCCCTTTAAAGGGCTTCAACCCTCCATAAGAAATGACAGCGCACACGGAGAACTGGAGAGAAGAGCCGAGTCAGCCGTGTGCGGATGAGAAAATGCACCCACGCAGGTGGGCTCAACTGCATGTCAAGTCAAGGCCTACGGAGTGTCCAGTGTCCTGTGTTTCCACTCGGATTTCAGGCTTCCCCCCCTGGGCTTGAGCAGCAGGGCAGGGCCACCACGAGGAGGGCCTATGAGCACACACAGTGCTGTGGGTTTTCTCAGGGGGAGGACAGCCACACACCTGTAAGCCTCACACAGAAGTTTTCCCAGTTGTCTCACATGAACGAGGATGAGTTCTAAGAATGGACTGTTCTAAGAACATGTACCACCCATGGCTGTACTTTTCCTCATTAAAAATAAATGAGGCTAGCCCCAGCCAGTGTGGCTCAGTGGACAGAGCGTCAGCCTGTGGACTGAGGGGTCCCAGGTTGATTCCAGTCAAGGGCACATGTCAGGTTGTAGGCTCGGATGTGAGGGCGATCTGGCTGCGACATCTGTCACCCCATTGATCGCCAGGGTTGATTCGGCTGATCTGGCTGGCTAGGCGGGTGTCCCCCTCCTCCCTCACCGATCCATGTGTGTCCCTCCCGAAGCTGCGCGCTCAGTCGAAGAGGACGACCTTCCCCCCCGAGGAGAGGACCAGTCTTCGGTCAAGGGTATACGAGTAGCTGCGCTCCCCTGCTAGAACCTCCAAACAAGCTCTCAAGGTTGTAGGCTCAATCTCCAGTAGGGGGTGTGCAGGAGGCAGCCCATCAATGATTCTTTCTCATCATTGATTTTTCTCTCTCTCTCCCCTTCTCCCTTCCTCTCTGAAATCAATAAAAATATACTAAAATAAATATGGCTAAATCAAGTCTGTCGAAATTTATTCATTCAACTGCATAGCACAAAATGGGAACATCTTGTTCCTTTTGAAAGTACTAGCATTTTCTAAATTTGTATCTGTCATCCTGGGACCCTGATGTCCCATGCTCATAGGCAACGGAACCTTTTACGTTAACATCTATGATACCCTAGCCGGGGGCTCAGTTGGTTAGAGCTTCGGCCTGATATGCCAAGATTGTGGGTTCCTCAGGACGCATACAAGTAGCAACCAATGAAGGCATAAGTGGAACAACAAATCGATGTTTACCTCTCTCTCAAAAAAAAAAAAATCAGGAGCATTTTTCTAACCCTTAAGATTTTGCTTCCCAATAATCACTGTCAGTTTCGCTCAAATTAGCTCACAAAAATTATCAAAACCAACAAAACATCTAATAAATCAATTAGATCCAGGTCACGGTCAGAGGTGCAGGCTGCGGTCCCCAACGATGGGGATTTTCAGACGACCCCACAGGATGCTTGTGGCACCACACTCCAAGTCAACTCCATTTCAAAGTCCAATGCCAGGCTCTCGGGATTATCTCACATCCTCAGGAAGGTTCTGACCCACTTCCAGCAGAAACAGAATCCACTGCCCCAAGGGAAGAAAGAGAAAACCATGCGACCTAATCCCACCCTCACCCCCAATCTGGGCATGTAAACAAAGACTGTTGTACTACACTGAATGCCGTTTTACAGACAATAGAGTTATACTGTCCAACCGCACAGACGATTTCAGAGAGACAATTACTTACGCCTTTTTAATGTCCTCGGCGGAGGCATGTCTCTGCACGCCTAGAACTTCATAGTAATCCACCATGTTTTACAGGCTGCTGGAACGAGTCCTGCTATTAGAAATCCAGGGTGAGTGACATCAGAGCAAGGAAGAGCGATTTCCCAACTTTTTTACCTCATGGCACATAAACAAATTACTAAAATTCTGCAGCACACCAAAACATATTTTTTTGCCAACGTGACAAAAAAAATAGGTGTAACTTCGATTCATTCACACTGGACGGCTATACAGTTTTGGCTGCTGACATGTTTTTATTTGACAATCTAAGGAAAAAGAGGTGAGTGCCCCTGACTAAATAGTCTGGTGTTGCATTTCTAAAAGTTTTTGCAGCACACCAGTTGAAAATCGCCAACCTAAACAAAATAAAACAGGTGATTCGTCAGAGACGTGGTGCCCACCTGAGCAGCAGCTAACAGGCCCCTGGCGAGCATCCTGCTTTCTCACCTCAACATACTCAGAAGCTTGTTGCCTCATTGCGTCCTGTGTCAGGCACTGGGCAGCACACTGGGGCCACCAGGAAGAAGAGTGCCCCGCCCAGAAGATCCACAGCATGGAACCACACACCTTGGCCTCCCCACATCCCGGGAGGGAAAAGGGGGCCATCTTTAAGGGCCATCAGTGTGAACAACTAACGTGAAATTCAGAAAAGAATGTATAACCTCAAATACACTAATGAAAGTTCCAAATATTAAATGGTTAAACTCAGTAACAGAACAGACTATAAGTTTGCCACTTATAATACTAAAATATGGCCCTCGCTGGTCTGGCTCCGTGGATAGTGTCGGCCTGCAAACTGAAGGGTCCGGGTTTGATTCTGGTCAAGGGCACATGCCCGGGTTGCAGGCTCGATCCCCAGGAGGGGGTGTGCTGGAGGCAGCCGATCAATGGTTCTCTCTCATCACTGATGTTTCTCTCTCTCCCTCTCCCTTCATCTCTGAAATCAATAAAAATGTATTTTTTAAAAACAGAATAGTAAAATATTTCTAAAGTAGAGTCCAAGGTTGTTCACTGTAGTTTTTTCCATTTTTTTAATATGTTCAACATAAGATATTAGGGAAACTGTTTTAAATGCAATCAGTTAAGAGATATGGAGTGAGCCAACAATTATAAAAGTTTTTCTCACTGGTAGTTACATCATTCAAAACACAGTGGTCAGCAGTGAGAACGTTAAGTTCAACCTGGAAATGACTACCCACACAAGAGGTAGCCAGTTCTTATGACCAGAGGCACAGCAACCTGAAATCTTCAGGAACTAAAAACATGGCCATCAGCCACAATAGTGCAACAGCCGCCAGAAAGCAGCAGAAAACCAGCATCCCTTCAGCTCTGCTCCAAGGACTAAGGAGACCCTTGGCTGCGTTCACTTGGAGCTGTTGTTGCCACAGGTCTGCAGGCCGTCTTAACAGTGACAGACAGGGAATGATGCCAGCCCACTGTCACAACAGGAGAGAGACCTCTGCACAAACCTCCCACTTCCTAAGCTGGACCATCACCTGAGCCACATGTGGTCAGAGATCATCTGGTGTGTCAAGAGGCCATGCTTAGGTATTTTTGCTACCATTTCAAAGCCCAGACCCAGGTTCTCTAAGTCCCAATGGTTCCCATATCTACACTAAAAGAGAAGCATGCAAACTGGTGTCACTCTGCTACGCCCACAAGCCAATAAGGATGTGTATGCACATTAACCCAACAAAGACAGCGGTTAATTTGCATATGCAGGCGCAGAGTGAAGCCTGAAGGCTCCGGCCTGAGTAAAGACTGAAGACTGAAGAGGCTTGGCTTCTCCACTGCAGCCGGAGCAAAGGCCTGGGTCCCGGGCGCCGGAGGAAAACCGGTGCCGGCAGCCAGGGGAAGGAAGGCCTATTGCACGAATCTCTTCGTGTGACGGGCCTCTAGTATTTGTAATAAGCACAATGTCTGTGCAAATGATTATGGTCTATGGCAGCCAGATCCTCAAGGCAGTCAGTAGAGCCATGGGAAGATGGGCAGAACTCAGAAAGCCTTGCATAACAGGTGGTGAGTACCTGATTGCTCAATCACCAACCAACCCCCTTGGGAGATTCCTGCCCCAAGGGACTCCTGTGAACACGGTCAATTGGACACAGGCAGCCCCCCAAGGCTGGTGCTATTCTTCTTCCTAAACGAAAACCACTCCAAGAGGAAAATTCAAGTGAACTCAGTAAGACCCATTGTCTGTTGAAGAGTCCAAAATCGCACCCTGCTACCCTTTTTGCCAATGCTGACCCTTCTCTACGGCCTTGTCCAACCCTGGCCAGCTCCCACAACACCTGAAGCATCCTCTTATTTAAAGTCAAGAGCCAGCCTCTCCCATTAGCATCCAAGAGACATTTTCGGGGCTTGTTTTGTGTGACTTTCCAAAACCCTAAACACACTGGGATTTCTGGTCGAGGCAGTCTCTGGTCTGCCTTTCCTGCCAGCTCACTTCCCTCAAAAAGGCCTGCTGGGAAAGCTCGGGCACTCCCATTATTTAAATAGCATTTATTTAGCAACTAGAGGCCCGGTGCACAAAAATTTGTGCACTGGGGGGGAGGTCCCCTCAGCCCGGCCTGTGCCCTCTCGCAGTCTGGTACCCCTCGGGGTATGACCTACTGGCTTAGGCATGCTCCGGGGGGGGGGGGGGGGGGGGATTGGGCCTAAGCTGGCAATCAGACATCCCTCTGGCAGCCCGGCAGCCCTCGGGGGATGTCCACCTGCCAGCGGGGAGCAGACCTAAGCTACAGACATCCTTAGCGCTGCTGAGGCAGGAGAGGCTCCCACCACCACCACTGTACTGGCAGCCATCTGCCTGGCTTGTGGCTGAGCAGAGCTCCCCCATGTGGGAGCACACTGACCACCAGAGGCAAGCTCCTGCATTGAGCATCTGCCCCCTGGTGGTCAGTGTGTGTCATAGTGACCAGTCATTCCCAGTCTTTCTGCGGTTAGGGTCAGTTTGCATATTACCCTTTTATTATATAGGATAGAGGCCTGGTGCACGGGTGGGGGCTGGCTGGTTTGCCCTGAAGGGTGTCCCGGATGAGGGTGAGGGTCCCGCTTGGGTGCCTAGCCAGCCTGGGTGAGGGGCTGATGGCTGTTTGCAGCTGGTCACACCCCCTTCAGGGTGGGGGGTCCCCACTGGGATGCCTGGCCAGCCTGGATGAGGAGCTGATGGCTGTTTTCAGGCTGCCTGCACCTCCTTTAGGGTGGGGGTCCCCACTGGGGTGCCTGGCCAGTCTGGGTAAGGGGCTGAGGGCCGTTTTCAGGCTGGCCTGCGACTGAAGCTCCCAGTCTCTTTTTTTCTTTTTCTTTTTTATTCTGGGATTTGTTTACCTTCTATAACTGAAACTCTGTTGCCTTCACTGGCGCTCCCAGCTCTGAGGCCACGGATGGCTGAAAGCAGGTATCTGGGCTTTGTTTAGCTTCTATAATTGAAACTTTGTTGCTTTTGGAGCTGTTGCTTTCGAAGCTTAGAGCCGGGCCATGGAAGGCGGGGAACCTTGGCTTCCTCCATCACTGGAGCAAGCAAGCCTCCTGCTCACTTCAGCTGTGTGGCTGCCAGCCGCCATCTTTGTTGGCAGTTAATTTGCATATCTTGCTGATTAGCCAATGGGAAGCATAGCAGAGGTAGTTAATTACCCTTTTTGTCTTTTATTAGATAGGATGGTTCCCCAACTGTATGTCCAATCCTAGGTCTCTCTTGGGCACATCACATTAATAGAGACAGCTACTTGACTTAGCCATCTGGACATCTGACAGACATCTCAAATAGAACATGACTAAACCTAACTGTCGACCGCCCCCTAAGGTCCCACCTTGTCATTCTCTAGCAAATTCTACCTTGAGCTTCCAAGCTGCATGACTGGAAATATCACCAGCACCACCACTGCTACACCTCCATATACAAAGTGAATTAATTCAGCTTTGTCTAGTGTCCAGCAAACTCTCTCAAACACCTCCCCTTTCCTCCATCTTCAATGGCACCAGCATCACCGCCCTGACACACTGCAGGTGCCGGCTGATTTAAGCGCACCCGCCCCTCTCAGTGGAGGTGAGCTGCTCAGATAATAAGCAGACGCATCACCCACAGCACTGGACAAACCAGCTGCCCTGCGAGGGCAGGACTCCGGTGCTCCCTGCTGCAAGACAGTGTGCACCTGAATGTCTCTCCCTTTGACTGGACATGTTACCTGCACATGTTACCTCTGGGGCAGAAGAGATACAAGAAGAGTCTAGGACATGGGTCAGGCAAGGAAAGAAGCTACAAAAATTACAGGCCTGGTCAAGAGACACAAGGAATGACTGAGGAAGTGTACCAGCATGGAAGTGACTAAGAATAGACTACTAAATGCCATCTGGCTCCTAGAGCAGGAAAAGGTCATTCATGAACACTTGATGGGATATGAATACAGTCTGTAGTCCACAATCCAGTAGCGATGCTAATTTCTAACATAAGCTGATGTAAGGAAAGCTGGGTGAAAAGGCACACAGGAAAACCCTTGTACCATCCTTACAACTCCTCTGTAAATCTAAGATATTTCAAAGTGAAAAATTAAAAATAAGTCAAAACAAACAAGTACAGCCATGTCAAAAGGACATGGGGCCCTGAGGGTATGTCTCGGTTGAGTGTTGACCTATGAACCAGGAGGTCTCGTTTGATTCCTGGTCAGGGCACATGCCCAGGTTGTGGGCTCAGTCCCCAGTGTGGGGCATGCAGGAGGCAGCCGATGTTTCTATCTTTCTCTCCCTCGCCCTTCTCTGAAATCAATAAAAAATATATTTTAAAAAAAGAATAAGTGAATGAAAATAACATCTTTCACCCTGGCAGGTGTTGGTTCAGTAGTTAGAGCATTGGCCTGAGCATTGAAGCATCTCAGGTTTGATTCCTGGGTCAGGGCTTGTGCGGGAAGAAACCAGTCTCTCACATCAATGTCTGACCCTCCTTCCATCCCTCCCTCCTCCTTCCTTCCTCTCTCTAAAAAGCAATGGAAAAAATACCCTCAGTTGAGGATAACAAAAAAGTAAAATCTTTTTTTATTCCTAATTGATCAGCAG